AGCATATAAAAAAGTTCTTAGAAGATAATTGTGTGTTAAATACATGTACCTAGAGGGATAGTTAATTGCATTTATTTCAGTTTGTTACAAAATGATAATGAGAGTTCTAGAGTCACAGTTTTGAGACAAGGAAATTTCTGGTTATTTAGATCCTTGGTATGTGCTTTTTGGTTGTGTCCACACATGCAGGAACATGCACTTGCAGAATCTCAAATAGGAGCAGCACAAATTTGTGCCAGAGATTTTTGCCTCAGCACACATGCCTGAACACGCACTTTGTTGTGGGGCAAGTTGTGCCACCTGGGACAAACTGACCCTACCATGCTCCTCTTAGATCTGCAGCCAGGGGGAGCTGAAGGCTGGGGCCAGTACCTGTGCTTCCCCCAGCAATATAAAAAGCTGCCCTGGTGAGCAGCTTAGAGCTACTTGGTCTCGAGCTTCTGAGGCCTGGCCAGTTACCATATGGGAGATACTAGCCCCCCGTGCCAGCTGAACAGCTGCAGCAGCCCTAACCTAGAGTGGCCCCTGTACCCTCTACCCACTGTAGCAGTCTGGCAGTGGGGGCTGCTGCCCGGCTGTGGCCTGCTGCCACCTGCAACAGCATCTTCCCCCTTGGACCTGCAGCCCCATGTCTACACACCTGCCAGAACTGGACGGGGACCACATGAATGCCTAGGCTGTGGCATGGCACTGTAGCAGAGCCATTTGCACCTCTGGGCCAGCTGCCAGTGGGCTATGGCTGCACAGTTGGCTTTTGTGTGTCACTGCTGCTATGTGTGCCCCCACCCTGCCATCTGGGCAGCTATCACCTAGAAGATGTTCTCAGTGTGGTGGCCTGCTTTGAACTGTCAAAGCATATCCTCCTGGCCCCAAATGGCCAGGAGGTCAGCCACCTCATTTGCTCTTCAGCTGGGTCCTAGGTGCCAGCCCTGAGCAGGCTCCTCTTCCTGGTGCTCCCTATTTAAAAACTGCAAATTCTCTGATAAAAAATCCCAAATGTACTCTTTAAAATATCCCAAAATCCATGTTGTTCCACAATTCAAACAAAAGACTATTTTATATATATATAGAGAGAGAGATCAGAGATTGATCAGTTGGGTAATGTTTTATTGATATATTTACAATGTTAAAGAAGTTTGGAAGCCTACCAGTGCCTCTATCATCATAATAAAATAATTTCTAAATATCTCTATGCTTTGATGTTTGCTTTTGGTTTTTTTATCATAGAAAAATCAGAGCTCCACCAGGATGTGGGGACTGTTGCCCCTGCAGCCACAGCTCCTGCCAGCAGGTCTCATCCTATCTGGCAGCTGGGCACACTGGGTGTGTGATGGGAGGATGTGGAGTTTGCAGGAGGGGGGTAGAAAGGGGTGTGGGGGGATATGGGGTATGTGGGGGGGTATGGGGGGGATGTAGGTAGGTGTGGGGGGCTGTGGGTGAGTGTGATGGTGGTGTGGGGTGTATGGGTAGGTGTGAGGGGGGATGTAGGGTTTGTGGAGGGATCTGATGAGGGGCCTCCACATGCCCCCCTGCCCCAGCCGCTGCGGTGCACAGCCCCCAGTGCTGGTAGCAACAGCCAGCTAGGCCATAGGCATAGGCCTGCAGCCATGCATCACCTTCTGAGTGGCATGGAGAACAGGCCTGGCCCAACCCAGCCCACTCTACCCTGCCAACACATGCCTTTGGACAGGAGCCGCGTGTGGTGTTAGGAGTCTTCCTGGTCCTGTCCAAAGGTGCACACTAGCAGGGCGGCCTCAGTCAGGGTGGGCTGGGCCCATTCTCTGTGTACAGACTGCACAACCCAGTCGGCTGCTGCTGCCAGCACCACTGGAGGGGGGGGGAGGAGGCGTGTGGTGACCCTCCCTCAAAACTGCCCACAAACTCCATATCCACCCATATACCCCACATCCCCCCCACACCGCATGACTCTTCACACACCCCACATCCCCCCACACACACACCCACATACCCCACCAGAACCACACAGCCTCCCCACCCCAAAGCCCTGCTTACTCAGGATAGCACCTGGGGCCATGCCACAGCCTTGCCCCACTCCTGTTTGCCCCACACACTGAGGCAGCATGCTAGGGCTGCAGAAGGACCATAGAGATGCTCTGGCCATATGCCAAAACATTACTGGAGGACCCAGCCTCTGCTTGCCTCAGGGAATGCTGCAGGACCATTCTCTGTGCCGGTTTTTTTCCAGGTGTTTTTCGGGTTTTTTTGATACTTGGAAATCCAGGTATCAAATTCAGAGCCTGAGCTGCAAATATGCAGCACACAGAACATTTTTTAGTTCTTAGCGTACCTCTTGCAGCGTCTCAAACCAGTTGCGCACTCATCTAGATGTGCCCTTTGAGATCAAAGAAATGACTCACTCAGCTTTTCCTTTGGTATAGTAGTTAGACTGAGTACGGGTGCCTGCCAGAATTCACCTCAAAGCCACCAGTTATAACTACTAGCTAAGAGCTTAGGTGTGTGCTTTCAAAGGTATGTATATGCCTAACACCTCTTTAAGTGCATAATTCCCATTGAAATCAGTGGATATCTTTTACACATGCTCCAGAGTGGAAGGGGGGGCGCTTTAATGAAAGTAACTCTGAGAGCCGCTCCAATCAAAGCACCCGAAGCATCATGTGTATTTAGCGTCCTGTGCTTCAAAATGGCAGCAGGGATGCTTTAAGGCTTGTTTGACAAGCTTCAAAGTGCCCCCACTATCATTTTGAAGCATGGGGGCGCTAAATACATGTGACATGGAGACTGCTGGAGTATGCTAATTAGCATGCATCAGAGCAGACACCCAGCACATGTGTAGGTGCCCAGTGAGTCAAGCACTTCAGTATCATTGTAGGTCTTTCATCACTTGTGAAAATATATGCTTAAAATGACTTTCACCCCCAAATTGATCATGCAGTGTATTAATAACTACATAGACAGGAATCAAAAAATGAAATAAAGCTGCTTAAACCTGAGTTAGGCTTTGTCTCATGTAAGCATTTGCACAGGCAGCTGGCAGTAATTAAGTCTGGGGAGAGCTGGTGACATTGGGAGGGCTGGCAGGTGTGCAGGTCAGGAGGGTAAAAATAGCCTGGTCAGGGGCTGTGCAAAATGACACCGTCCCATTTTGACTTGCGTTTTGACATTTTGACAGAACAGTGTTTTGTTTCAAATTTTGTTTCGATTCGAAACTGCTGTTCCGTTTCATTTCATTGAAACAGTTTCGCTGTTTCGACACTGTTTCAATGTTTTGCCCATAGGCTATAATGGGGAAGCTCAAAACAGCCTATAACGTTGTCATTTCTGGCCTGATTTGGATGAAACTTGCAAGAATAGTAGCCCCTTCTGAGGGCATGAAGCCTGCCAAGTTTCAAGGAGATAGGTCCAGGGGTTTCAGGGAAACTGCACCTCAAGCTGCAGACAAGGAAAACTCGTGACATGGGTGACACTGTGTGTGTGTGTTAAGGTTCGACAGGGTGAAAACTGCAGGCATGCTAGCTCCTGCTGTGGCCATGAAGCCTGCCAGCTGTCAAGGAGATAGGTGCAGGGGGAGTCTGGGTTCTGGGGCCCTGCAGTTCTAGCTGCTGACAGGCAAAAACTCGTGACATGGGTGGGTGACACTGTGTGTGTGTGTTAAGGTGCACCCCCACTCAACTGACACCAAGGCAGAAAGCAGGGCAGTTCAAACAATGCTGCCTTTTATGCAGTTTTTCCATCTCTCCACCAGAGCACTGGGATTGGAAGGGACCTGAGGAAAGGATGACAGTCACTGGCCAATTACATAGTCAATAATAAGAGTACTCCTATCCCCCCTTCTCTCCCCTTTCCCCACACTCTCCTTACTTTAGTTTCTGTTTCCCTGCAGGCAAGCCCAGTTTGAGGTTCAAAATTCGAAACGTTTTGAAAATGTCGAAAGTTTCGACTTGCCTTGTTTCGTTTCTAGGCTGTTTCAAAGTTCTCTGTTTCATTTAAATTTTGCTGTTTCAAGCTCGAAACGAGCCAAAACAGCGTCAAAATGAAACTGCCGGAGAAATTTTGCACAAGCCTACTCCATAGCCTCAGGGCTGTAAAGAGTGGCTGGGCTTCCCAGTGCTGGGGCTGTGCTGGGGATGCATGCAAGCGTTCATTAGGCCAGGTTAACCCTTATCTGCCGAGAACTAACTTTAGATCTGGTTCATCATTTCTGGGGTTACCTAAGCTCTGTGAATGCTTGCACAACCAGCCATTTAGATCACCTAAAGTTTGGTTAGGGCAATCTAAATGTAACACTTATATATGCCCCTACAGTACAATCAATTTAATAGCAACATTATGAAAAAAAACAGGGGCCATGTCTACACAAGATGCTGACCATACAGGTGTTACTGCGCAGTCATTTAGAACTTGTATAAATAAGTATAAACAAGTACTAAATGATTGTGCAGTAACTGGAATTACTGTGCAGTTGTGCTAAGGAATAGCTTTTTTGTGATGCGTACTGCATAGTAGCTCATGACTATTGCACAATAGTGTCACATCATGCTTTCTGCCACATGACGCTACTGCGCAGTAGTCTTGGGCTACTGTACACTCAGTATCTTGTGTAGATACAGCTAGGATGTATCTAAATGAATCCTGTATCTAAATGAAACTATGGGAAATCAAAATGGACAGCTTTATATGTAAGTGCATTAGAAGAATTAGAGAATTAGGGAATCATCATGGCAGCAATGTTAGTTTGACTGGAGAAAGATGAGGATATAGTTTTTCTGACCTCCTCAGGGTATTGCAGTTGGGAACATCTTCAAACCATTCCAGCTTAATCTGCCACTCCATTTATAATAGCATGGAAAAGATTTGATACTTCAGTGACAAATAGTCAGTAAAAAGTCTGATATTCCCAAACTTTTCTGTGGAAATTGACAGGAAGTAGGTAAGGATACAGAGAGCTATCATAACCACAAAACTTGATTCTAACAATGACAACAACAACAGAAGTGAATGCTTCCCTTCTCTCTTTTTAGTTTCTGCATTTACCAAGAAGCCAAAGACAACAGAGGCAACATCAGGAGGTTCAGCTATGTTTGAGGCAGAGACAGAAAAAGCTGGCATCAAGGTGAAGTGGCAGCGAGCTGGTGCTGAAATTACTGAAAGCAAGAAATATATCATCAAATCTGAGGGGAACAAGCATTCACTGACTATCAATAACATTGAAAAAGATGATGATGTGACATATGCTGTAATTGCAGGGAGTTCCAAGGTCAAATTTGAGCTCAAGGTCAAAGAACCAGGTACAGTGCCTCTAAGATCATTATAATTTCTTAGTACTCCCAACCATATCTTCAAAAATCATGAGCTAGGCCCATGAAAATGATACTTAAAATCATGAGATTTTAAAATTAGTAAGTGTTATTTTATTTTGATTTGCTGTCTGGTGTCTTAGGGTGTTTTTACATGTGCTTCAGGAGTTGCAGGGGCGGGGAGAGGGGAATGCTTTAATTAGAGCAGTTACGCTGCCATTTTGAAGTGTGGGGATGCTGATACACAAGACACAGATGCTGGCTGGAGCACAGTAATTACCATGATCCAGCAGACTCGATTAATTGCTGTAATTGCAGTGCATTGTGCAGCCTCCGGGCTCATGTACATGCACTCTTAGTTTTTATGGTTCATATCTTCAAGGTTTTTCCTGCAACCCTGAGAGCTAGAAATAAAGTTTTTTAATAAAAACTGAGATTCTCCCATGATTCCAGAATGTGGAGTTTTAAGAAACAGGAAATATAGCAAAACTATTATAAAATCTCTATGAGTTAACAACTTATTTCAAATGTGTTGTAGATATACATAAAAGGAGTTAATGTGCTCCCTTTAATTGGCCTGCAAGCCACTTGCTAAAGGCTCAGGCTTCAAGAGGAACTTTGCAGAAACAGTGAGTAATTTACATATTATTATAGGCATTTCTGTGTCACTAGTGTATCTGGGTGCATGACACTAGCTTAGACTGGAAGTGGAAAAATCTCTCAGATATAGGCAGCTAATATCTTGTGACATCTTATTACAACAATACTTTAATAGGATAGATGGGAAAGGCAGTGAAAATAAATTAAGATCAGTCATTCTAAATGCATTTTGAGCTTTCCTCACCCCGCTCCTTTACCCAAAGTTCACAAATCTCTGTCAAAATTTGTACCTCCTTCTCTGTCCACACTGTTCCAAGGCCTTAGCTCAGACCAGATTTTTTCTCCTACCATTGTTCATTTTGCTAACAGTAACGTGGTCTTTGTGAGGTCTTCTGACAATCTTAAAGACACTTTTAGGCATTTTTAGCAGTGTGCCTTCTCTGTAGAGATATCCTGTTCCAGATAAAAATAGAGTGGATGACTGGTTTTAGGCTACTTAGGACTCTGTAGATAATAACTAAATTTCATCTTGCAGCTCACCAGCAGCCACAGATGTGTAATGTGATCTTGCTGACTTCCTCACTTTGAAGGTGAACAGCTGTGTATTAACCAGCTAACGTTTTCTGATGGTATTTGAAGTCAGTCCCAGGTAGAGCTTGTTATAGCAGCCATGCTTACAAATAACAAAGACACAGAAGCAGTCGGGTAGAAGTGTTCTTGTGGCCACGATGGTCCAGGGAATATGCAAGAATCAAGGGATTTTTGGTCATATATTTTATTAGATCAACAATATAGTTGGGAGAGATGCTAGGCAAGCTTTTGGGCACAAAATGCCTTTCCTCAGGTCTGAGAAAGAATCAGATACATTCTAAGCTAAATAAATAAATAGTACGTAAATAAGTAAAAAAAAAAAAATCTTATGCATAGGCTAATTGTTCATCAAACAAAATTGTGTTTTTCATCCTAACTTTTACTTACATCACAGAAGACAAAGGATAAAAAAGCATTAAACAAATGACCTTTAAAATTCTTCCTGTCAAAACTGTTGTTTAAAATGTCAGACACCAGCTCTTTGATCAGCCGAGTTCCATACTTAAGATAGGAAGGGATGCCTACTCCTGCAGTGTTACAAGTGCCATTTCAAAGCAGTAGAACAAGAGAGTAGAATGAAAAAGAAGTCCCTTTCTAAGCTGTACAAGAAAATAGCTGATCCCTGTGCATTTCTTAATGTTCAGTATTGGAAGGCTACTCTGCATAACTTTCTCAGGTATAGCCAATAATAATATGGCTTTCTCTAACCTTGCTTTGCCTTTCTTTCCAGAAAAGTCTGAAGCAGTCCTTCCTACTGAAGCTTCTTCTGCCTCAGCTGTCTTAGACGCAGACTCTGCTCCAGCTGTTCCAGATTCACCTCCACCACCACCAGACAGTATCCAGAAATCAGGTAAAAAGAACTAATGGTGGGGCGAACCATAGTTCATGCACTGAAAGAAAGAATAGGAACAGGTTATCCCAACAGCAATGGTGCAGGGAACAGTAGCTGAAGATGACCACAAGCGATAGTCCTCACTGAAATGGGAAAAAGAAGCCTCAAAGAAACAGAGAATATCTGAGTGGAGAAGAATGATGTGAGAAACACTGAACCAATGTAAAGGATTCTCTGCACAGGTTAGGACAGAGGCAAAAGCAGAAAGCAATAGTAAATATCACATTTTTATTTCAGTTCCAACTAGTGAAATTCAGCCAGAACTACCTCTGGATCTTATTGGGCTCTTTGTGACCCGGCCTCAAGATGGAGAAGTGTCTGTTGGTAAGCACATGGTCTGACCCAACCAATGTTGTAAACTGCACCTACTATGTGAATCTATATTTATCTTGTCACATATCATATAATAGCAGTACTGTAACAGAAATACTAAACATCACTTAGAGTTTCATCTTAAAACCCTTTTTTGTAGGTGGAAACATCACATTTACTGCCATTGTGGCAGGTGCCAGCCTACTGAAGAAGCCATCAGTAAAATGGTTCAAGGGAAAATGGATGAACTTGGGAAACAAAGTGGGGACCCATCTCCAGCTTCATGACCACTATGATAGAAACAACAAGGTACAACCAGCAAAGCAGAGTTCTTGGTAACCACTAACTTTTTACCTGGAGAGAGGGAGCTTTTCCTAGTATCAACATGTTAATAAGTTGCCCCAAATTGTGTACACTATTCTAGTCCTGGATACAGATACATCCTGAGGACTTCGACAAAACAGAGGCACTAAACAAATACCATCACTGTTCGTGCCCATGAGGAAATGATAAAGGATTTGGAAGATAAAGACTTCCTCAACTAAATATGTTATAATGAATGGTAGCAGTGAATAACACCCAGACTGATAATAATAATAATAATAATAATAATAAGGATTAAAAAACATGATTTTTTTTAAAAGGGTATAAACTATCATGCTTCAGCATATAAACTACATTTTAACTAATGGGTGTTAGGAATAAAAATTTCTTGTAGGCAGCTTATTTCATAACTGCCTACTGCCAGGTTCCTTGTACCTTCTTCTCAAGTACTTCTATGAGCTATTGTTTGCAATAGGATATTAAATTAAACTGACCCTTGTGGCAAATCTAATATGGTAATTTCTGTGTTCTTATTGTGTAATTATCATTATAGAAATGTTCAGACAACCACCCATTAGAAAAGAAATTGGTTTAGACATGGAAACAAAGTAACTATCACAAATAACAAAAAGTCCATTTTTACAGTAAAATTACTTTGTACTGTGTGATCTCTTGCCCAAAAACAGATAGCTGGAACACAAAGAAGCCAGTAGTTTCTTCCTCTCTAAGGAGAATGTTCTAACCTAGTTTTAAAATATATTCATTTATTTATGTGCATCAATACTGCTCTCTACTGGATGCAATATAATAGACATGTCTGTATATAAATTAATCCTGCTAACTGAATTGGTGGAATTGCTGCATTAGCCATAGATAGACATATATTTTCTGGAGATGTAGGTTCTGTTCCTGTTGAAGTTACTCATGCAGTTACTGCATCTAATGACTGTGTTGCTGTATGTAAGCAGCTGCCAGTTAGAACAGCAGAATTTACTGCTACCAACATGTCATCCTCTAGAAAACGTGTACTGATAATGTCCTTCAGCCATTTTACTTTGATTTGAGAAAAGTAAGCTTTCTGGCAACAATGTAGCCTGGCATTAGAGAAGGTCAGAGTTGCATATGCTGGAGATAAACTGATTTTTCAGTGGATGGAGAGTTATATTATGTTTCACTTTTTGTCTATCACTCTTCATGTTCTAGTTTGCTATATTTGTATTATCTCTATATATCTCTTTGGCTGCTTGCAGACATTATAAACAAAAACAAAAAGCCCCACACTTTACTGGAAGCAGCTGCACAATACTTCCACTCAGCTCTGCAGCATCTGTAAAGATTGGGCACATCAGCTGATTCAGTCAACTATTAGATAAAAGTGCCAAAAAAGCCCTACTAAAGTGCCCAATCTCTACAGATGTCAGGTGAGCTGGGTTGAAGTAATGCGCTGCCTCTTTTGGGCATGCGTGGGGCTCAGCATGGGAATGCACCAAGTTTAAAGTAAAGCACCAGATTTTTGTTTGTTTGGGGGGATGGGAGTTATGTCTGCAAGCATCCTTTTATCCTTTATTTTTCTAATTTCCTTTTGTGGGTTGGTCTGTTTTTCTAGGTTTATATTTTTGAAATGCAAATAATTGATGCAAAAATGACATATGCAGGGGGGTACAGATGTGAGGTGTCTACCAAAGACAAGTTTGATAGCTGTAACTTCAACCTCATTGTCAATGGTAAGCCAATATTTTCAACACTGTAACTTTTTTAATACCTTGCTAAGCTAGGTTTTGGCCCCACTCTTCTTTGCTCCATACAGAGCAACCTTTTTCCTTTACATAGAGCAGCCACCAGTAGAGGGTGTATGTTTCAGATACTGGCAGAGCTGTGTGAGCCCAAGACAAAATACAGATATTCAAAAAGCCCCTGGCAGAAAGCTCTCTATCGCACTTTACTTAAAGTGCTATAAGTTAGAGTGTGTTCCAACCGAACACATATGCACTGTTTGGTGGGGTAGGGGCAGAGCTCAGTGCCTGTTTGCACTGGCCAAGGCCAGCAGGCAGGAGGCACTCCCATATGCTTCCCAGGACTGTCAGCAGCGGGTGGGTGAAAAAGGGGGCCCAAGTAGCAGGGGAGAAGGGAGCCCCCCCTCAGACCCCAACCAGCAAGTTGTGGGAGACCCTCATGGTAGGGAGGTTCCTTTCCCCCAACTGAGCCAGCAACGGCAGCGCAAGTTCCCTGCACAACTTTTTGCACTCTGGGAGGGGGTGGTGGGAAAGGAGTCCCCTGCTGGGTAGCCTCCCCCCACAATTTCCCAGGTTGGGTTCTGGTGGGGGCAAGGCTGGGCCCACACCAAAGCAGGGCCTCCTTTTCCACCACACCCCGCCTCCCACTGCCTCCAGAGTTCCTGGCATGGTGAAAAGCAGTGCAGGAAACTTGTGCTACTGCTGCTTGTTGCAGCTGGGGGAAAGGAGCCCCTCTGGCTGGGCTGTGGTGCACCATGGGGCTGGGGCAGCTGCAGGGACAGAAACCCCCTTCCCAGCTTTTCTCCCCCCCCCCCCCCCCCCCCCCGCGGGGG